ATCTGCAAAACGTGGCAAGGAATCTCGGGGAGTCACGAACCAATGAAGCAAACTAATTGTCTCCTGCAAACTCTATTCCTCTTTTGCTCCTCTTTTATTTCCTCTGGGAGGGGCCATTCATCATCCACCTGTGGCCTTACTCCCAAGTCAACTCCTGTTCTTTAGTTGTTCCCTTCACCTGGCAACTCTGCACATGCATACACTGGGAACAGGCTCCAGCTGTTCGTCTGCCTCACTGATGCCTGACTCTGAAGGCAGCTAATAACTGTCAGATGGCCCTGGCCCCCTCTCTGCCTCCGACACAGAGCCCTCATCAAAGCCTTCCCCAGACTCCAGGACTGGCCCATGTTCCTCCCCAACCTCCTCACTGTCTGAATCTGCTGCCAGTTCCGCTGACGGGCCACAACATCATCTAGGCAGCAAACAAACATATCCATCTTGGCAGGAATGAAGGTAAAATGAAACCAGGGGAGAAATGTAGCAAGGCTGAAGAAGGCCCTATCTCCAGGCATCTTTTGTTCTAAAGCCCCTTTGGATCCAAAGCAGTTGGACGCTGCCCTTGGAACTACATTAAGAAGCCATTGTGAGTTTTGATGAAAGGAGAGAAGACGGTTGCCTCAGGTCACACATAACTTTCCAACTTATCTCAAATCAGTGCATTTTGATCTTCCAATAAGAGGGGAGAATTTCATGTCTTCTCTCTGGCTTTTAACCTTTTAAGCTGCAATCCTGCTTTAATTTTCATTGAAAGAAGCTTTCTTTTCAATTTCAAACGAAACACTATTCCGTTGATTTGACTCTGTCCTTTTAAAACTATCCTGAGAAATATTCTAGAACATAGCAGAAGAAACATGAAACTAACAAACTCCAAAGAAGAATGCAGGGCTTATTTTAAGTAAGCTGATCTGGAGAGATGGGGGAAAAAAGCAAATAATATAAAAATAAGACAATTAAGTCTTGTTCCTTGCATTGCCAAAGTCACATGAGAAAGAAGACACCATTCAGAGATGGACTTTTGGATCCCATCACTACTTGCAACTTTTGGCACTTGGTGCCTTTGGGACAAAACCTCATGGATCCTGGCCCCTTTCTACAAAACTGCATATATTTGACCTTATATACATCAAGTTTGCAAAATTCTCAGGCAATTTGCAAAGAAGGTGAGGTAGATACAGATCACTGAATCACAACTACTTGTAAGTTTTGTGCTGCCGGATGCTAAATAAATAAATAAGTGTTGTGCTCCATGAAATTTCAAGGATCTAAAGTTGCTCATAACCAAGAAACTTAAGGGAAACAGTTCCAGAGGTGGATTGCTGCTGGTTTGGCTGAACTGGTAGTTGTGGCAGAAGGAGGCTCTGCCCATCCGCCTGGACACTTCTGCGCATGTGCAGAAGCATTGCACATGCGAGGGTGGGTGCGTGCACGAGCGAACCGGTAGCAAAACGGTTACCCACCCACAATTGAACAGTTCCCATATTGTGCTGCTAAGTTGCAAAGGGTTTAACTGATTTTGGCTTAGCCTGTGGCATGAGCTCAGCCATTGTGGTTTAGGCCATCACCCATGGCTTAGCACATGTATGATCCAGGCTATTCCTGTTGACATTTATGATAACTCCAAATTCAAATTTTGGGAGAAGGGCAGGCCACACGAAGGAAAAAGGCATTGCAGGTAGGTCTCAATCTACGACCACATCTGAATGAGATTGTAATTCATTTTGGCCCCTTTTACGACTTTTCCTGCCACATTTGTTAAGGGAATCGCTGCAGTTGTTCAATTAGTAACATGGTTGTTACTGGCTTCTCCCTTGACTTGGCAAAGGGGATCACTTGACCCTGGGACATGGCAACCGTCGTAAATTTGGGTCTGTTGCCAAGCATCCGAATATAAGCCATGTGACCATGGGGATGCTTTAATGGTCCTAACTGTGAAAAGTCACCATAAGTCACATATTTTCAGTGCTGTTGTCACTTCGAATGGTCACTAAAGTGAACTGTTGTAAGTCGTCCCTGTAATATCGATCCAATATATTCCGACACCTGGGACTTCATGTTTGTTTGAAGTGTTTGTATTTCAGCAAGACCTCTATGATGTGGGGGGACGGGGACTGTAAATCATCTTTTATTTTGATGATGTAGACTTATTACTCATGAGCTTCCTGGTTAATTTTAATGAGTCTCAATCTGATGTCTTCCAAATGTGCATAAAATCACTAAAGTGGGTGGGACTGTAGCCCAAAATCTCTGGAGACAAGAGGGTGAACAAGACCACCTTATGAGCCGAGGTGGCGCAGTGGTTAGAGTGCAGTACTGCAGGCTACTTCTGCTGACTGCTGGCTGCCTGCAATTTAGCAGTTCAAATCTCACCAGGCTCAAAGTTGACTCAGCCTTCCATCCCTCCGAGGTGGGTAAAATGAGGACCCAGATTGTTGGGGGCAAGAAGCTGACTCTGTAAACCGCTTAGAGAGGGCTGTAAAGCACTGTGAAGTGGTATATAAGTGCTATTGCTATCTTCCTCCCTCCCTCCCGTACCCTCCCCTTCCTCCCTCCTTCCTCCCTTCCTCCCTTCTTTCTTTCCTTCCCTCTCTTCTCCTTCTTTCCTTCTTTCCTTCCTTACCTCCTTCCCAGTGGTTAGAAGGCAGTATTTAAAGCTAACTCTGCCAACTGCCAGGGGTTCGATCCTGACCAGCTGAAGGTTGACTCAACCATCCATTCTTCCGAGGTGGGTAAAATGAGGACCCAAATTGTTGGGGGCAAGAGGCTGACTCTTTAAACCGCTTAGAGAGGGCTGCAAAAGCACTATGAAGTGGTATATGTCTAAGTGCTATTGCTAAGTGCTAAAGAAGGGAGAAGGAGGGAGTGAGGGAGGGAAGGAAGGGAGGGAGGGAGGGAGGGAGGAAGGAAGGAAGAAGGAAGGATGGACTGTAGTGGCATAGTGGTTAGAATGCAGTATTGCAGGCTAACTCTGCCAACTGCCAGCAGTTTGATCCTAACCAGCTCAAGGTTGACTCAGCCTTCCATCCTCCTGAGGTGGGTAAAATGAGGACCCAAATTGTTGGGGCCAATAGGCTGACTCTGTAAACTGCTTAGAGAGGGCTGTAAAGCACTGTGAAGTGGTATATAAGTGCTCTTGCTCTTAAATTTTATTTTCCCAAAGCAGTAAGGATCTAACCNCAGCCCATAGATTTCCATTACTCTCCTCTCCTCTGCCTTCTGCACATCAGTGTGTCAGGCACTGAAGTAAGCTGTTCCTCATCAGCCACCTCCAGACCTGGGGGCTGTTGACTCTCCGTCTGAGGGCTAATGGCCAGCCCAGGCTCTGCCTCTGCCTCTCTCTGTCTCTCTCTGTCTATCTGTCTATCTGTCTGTCTCTCTCTCTGAGACCTCCATTCCCTCTCCCTCCTCAAAGCTCTCAGGTTGCCTTGATACTGATACTGACCTCCACTCTCCTCCTCATCTGATTTGGCTGCTGGAGGGGCAGGCAACCACCAGGCCACAACAGTGAGTTTGAGCAGGTCACATTGCTCTGACACTTAGGAATACAACTGGTATTGTTTTGATTTGGTTTTGTAGCTCAGTACAATACAGGACCCCAACCAGGTTTTACTGTGTAAGGTGCGCGATCAAGGTTAAAATGGCAGCCTGCAACTGCCCACAGCATCAACATTATTTTACAACATATGTAAAAAGCATCAGGGCTTTTATAGATTAGTTGCAGCCAGAATATGGACTTTATTGATCCTGTGGATACACCTCTGATCACATCTACTTGCTCAGTCAACAATGCCATGTGAGCTGAGAAAGGGATTGAAGTGACCAAAATAAAATTGTTTCTTACCAAGAGGTTGATGAGCAATCCAGGAGGAGAACTCAAAACTGGAGCGGACAGCTTTACTTCCTTTCCTCCCTTGTTTGTTTACTCCTCCTCCTCCTCCTCTCCCCTTGAAATCTGTCTTCTATCCCTCTCTGAGACAACCCCCGTACCCATTTGGGAAATAGTTTTAGAATCCAGCAATGCATGTCAACCTGGATTCTTGTGCTGAGAAGAAACCTAGAGACAGGAAAGGGTGACCAGCGATAAAGTGTCCCCTCTTGATGCTTCTGGGTGGTCAGACAAAGCTAGGAAGGTAAGGGATGTGTAGGAAAAGGGCAGACAGAGTTGGGGAGGTGGGGTTAAGCATGTTATAGGCTTAGAGTTGTTACATTCCCATAAATGGTTTAATTCCAACTCCTCTTGAATTCTGTTGACCATTATCGGGTGCCAATTTAATACAGGACTTTAGTTGGCTAGATTCTTGTATTCAGGCTTGAGCGATTAAATGTCTGAATTGCAACTTAACATATGGTCTCGAGTCCTTCCTTCTCATTAGGAAGGAAGGACTCCCTGGAGAAGAGCCTAATGCTGGGAACGATTGAGGGCAAAAGAAGAAAGGGGCAACAGAGAATGAAGTGTCTGGATGGAGTCACTTAAGCAGTCGGTGTGAGCTTAAATGGACTCCAGAGGGTGGTAGAGGACAGGAAGGCCTAGAAGAATGTTGTCCATGGGGTCGCGATGGGTTGGACACCACTTTGCAACTAACAAGCACAATATGGTCCGGATCATTTGCACCTAACGTTGATCTAATGAACTCAAGTTCAGTACTAAATTGCCACTAGATTAAGGGTCAAAGGAATTCAAGAGGGATTGGAATTGGACTGTTTGTGGCAATGTAATGATTCAAAGCTGATGAGATGCTTAGCTCCATCCCTCTGCAGCTCTGCCTCCTCTTCTCCTACAGGATGCTCCTTTTTCCCAATGATAGGAATCCATTCATCCCCTCCTTGGGCCGAGCTCTTAACCTTCTTACCTGTACTGTTCCATATCCAGCTTGTTCCCTATCAGGAGAACTGGAGATTCATGGAACGTGTTCTTCAAGTGGAGAGCAATGAGATCCAGGTACCGCTGACATCCTTCAAAGCTCTTCCGGTTGTCAATGCTGTAGACTACTAGAAAGGCATTGGCCCAGTTCAGATACCTCTCACAGCCCACTGGTATGTCCTGACAGAGAAGCATGTGGGAATTGGTTAGAAGGCCCAACATCTCTCTCATCCAACAGCAAACTACACATTCATCTGTTCTGACCGAGGCTTCCCAAGAGCCTTAAGCAAACTCCTTGTCCCGACAAAAACTCCTTTTATTAATTGACTGTGAATTCTGCTCATTCACATCTGGCAAAATCTTTCAAGAGAGGATTTATAGTCACAGACCTTATCTGGCTTGGAGAGCTGCCAGGCCGATATCTGCAAAACGTGGCAAGGAATCTCGGGGAGTCACGAACCAATGAAGTGAACTAATTGTTTCCCCTGCAAACTCCACTCCCCTTTTGCCCCTCTTTTATTTCATCTGGGAGGGGCCATTCACACATAACATTCCCGCCCCCCCAAAAAAGAACGTTTTTACAAA